CGATAATACTTCAAATACTGAAAACTGTTATAATATAATCTCCACGACGTCATAATTTTACGTAATCGAATATTTCATTCAGATATTGATGAATGTGCCTCTGGGCCGTGTCAAAATGGCGGAACATGCCTCGATATTGTAAATGGTTATTTCTGCAATTGTGCTGCAGGCTACACTGGTAGACTTTGTGATATCGGTAAGTAAAAATCGAAGATAATATATATTTCATTTATTGCCAAGAAACCACGATATGTATAATGACGTAATATATACTATTCTGATGGATTTTCGTAACTAGTTTAGCCATTAATATTTTTTGTATATTTATACTTCTTTCAGATATCGATGGATGCGCCACTTCACCTTGTATAAACGGAGGTACATGTATTGATACTCTCGGCGGATACACATGTGCGTGTCTAGCGGGATATACAGGGATCAATTGCCAGACAAGTATGTACATGTATATATTTTATATGTTTAAAGTATATAATTAATAATTATTTTATTTAATAACTACTCGACAACATTATAATAGACCTATGTTCTACTAGCGTTGATATTAATAAAAATAGGTTATGTCTTCCCATGGAATTACACTGTACAGTAGGCGATGGATGTTAAGCCGCATATTCGTTTATACATTGAGCTTATTCGACTGGTTCATTTCATTGACTACGATTTTTCGTTGAGTATTATTTTCATTCGACAGGTTCGTAAAGTATACTTCGATGACAACAAAAACTAACGTAAACCAGAGTGCGTTAATCAGCGTTAAGTTATCCACGTGACCAAAACAAACATGGCGGATTCAGTTTAGAAACAACATTTGCGTTAATATAATTTAGATTAAATTTCAGAAAATAAAAATTATAATATTTACCCATATGAAGTCAAAAAATAATTTGTAGACTAACAGGATTCAAAAACTGGATGAAAACATTTTTTTATGGAAAACCCCTACTGCCACAAGCCGAAGCAATCTTGATTACGCCGTGCGTGTATCGCGGTAACTATGCAGCCATTTTGATTTTGTCGCGTATTTACAAGTTTCTATTCGACTGGTCGTTTTCGTTAAGTATGATTTTACGACTGCGAAGGTGTGCGTGGTTTAACGAAGAACGACCTGTCGAATACGGCAATTATTTTCGGGATGATTAGTGCGGGCACATCTTTAGACATAGCCGGCAATATAAACACTTCGAAAATTCAAATCATCACAGATAACATCTTCATAAAGTATCAATATTACGGTACGAGTAAGTTTATTACAATATACTTTGATGACGTCATATTTATATTCACATGTTATGTTATAGATATTGATGAATGTGCCTCTGGACCGTGTCAAAATGGCGGAACGTGCTTCGATGGAGTAAATGGTTACGTCTGTAGCTGTGTTCTAGGCTACACTGGAACACTCTGTCAAATCAGTATGTAGCCTACAAACAATTCAAAACTTTAAATTATATTACAATACCACACTACGAAAACGAAAATTTAGTAGAATTCATTTTATAGTCTTACTTATGGGAAACTTATTTGAAAAATAATGAATTTTACTGATGCTATTTTTAATAGATATCAATGAATGCGCCTCTGATCCGTGCCAAAATGGCGGGACTTGTCTTGATGCTGTAAATGGCTACGTCTGTAATTGTGCTCTCGGCTACACTGGTGTATTCTGTCAGATTAGTAAGTAAAATATCTTGGATTTTTTTTCTAAATATGCGATCAAGCAATGTTCATCTTTATAATGCCAAAATACTTGATAGCTATAAATAACCCTTTAAACGCTGAAATATTCTGATTAATTGTCATAATTCGTTTTGGCAATGTTGTGGTGACTAAGAATAGTGAAATCCCATTATCATCCACAAAATCTACAAAGCTCTATTCACATCGGATCCGTACCGAACTTCCGACCGCGTTTCCGGAGCGCCGAAACCACCAGCGTCCTATTCTTACACACACTTTCTGATCGGTTCGGTAGGCCTTCCTATCCGAATATTGGGATTTGGTGTTAATGCACCTTTTAGGATGAACAACATTCTCTCCGAACCGGGATTTGTACCCCAGTCTATAATTTAATATCAGTGGCGGATTCAAAGTGGGAGGGGGAGCGAGCCGGCCTACCCCCACTCTTACATTTTTCAAATTTATTTTTAAAAAAAGCAGGAAAAAGGAAAATATTAATCAAATTTAGGTCTGATATCTGGTAAATGGCTATTTCTGTAACTGTGTTCCAGGCTACACTGGAACATTTTGTCAAATTAGTAAGTATAATTTTTTATATAACGTATCCATATAGCGATAATACTTCAAATACTGAAAACTGTTATAATATAATCTCCACGACGTCATAATTTTACGTAATCGAATATTTCATTCAGATATTGATGAATGTGCCTCTGGGCCGTGTCAAAATGGCGGAACATGCCTCGATATTGTAAATGGTTATTTCTGCAATTGTGCTGCAGGCTACACTGGTAGACTTTGTGATATCGGTAAGTAAAAATCGAAGATAATATATATATCATTTATTGCCAAGAAACCACGATATATATAATGACGTAATATATACTATTCTGATGGATTTTCGTAACTAGTTTAGCCATTAATATTTTTTGTATATTTATACTTCTTTCAGATATCGATGGATGCGCCACTTCACCTTGTATAAACGGAGGTACATGTATTGATACTCTCGGCGGATACACGTGTGCGTGTCTAGCGGGATATACAGGGATCAATTGCCAGACAAGTATGTACATGTATATATTTTGTATTGTTATTATTATTATTATTATTATTATTATTATTATTATTATTAATATTATTATTATTATTATTAGGCCTATTATTATTATTACTATTATTATTATTGTTATTATTACTATTATTATTATTCCTAATGTCCATGGTAGCATGGTTAGAAACAGTTCACTGACAGAGTTGCGTCTCTGAGTTTATATGCATAAGATTAGTGTCAGTCACTAGACCTGGGCCACCATTTTAGAAAATATATAAACTATATTAAATTTCAGATGTCATTCAAATCATATGTTTGATAGACTCACATGACGTAATGTCTTGTTGCAAAAAATTAGAATCTTTGAAGTACTGTATAATGTACGATACATAACTGAAATAAGTTTCATTGACGTCTTATATTTACGTAATTTTATAGATATCGATGAATGCGCCTCTGGACCGTGTCAAAATGGCGGAACGTGTTTTGATGCTGTAAATGGTTATTTCTGTAACTGCCCTGCAGGCTACACCGGAATATTCTGTCAAATTAGTAAGTACAAATTCACATTAAACCTCGAAGTATAATTTTTGTATACTTATACCGGTGCTACTTTAAACATAAAAATATTATGATCCAGTTTCAATGATGTCATGTTCATTTTGTTACCGAATATTTTGTTTATAGATATTGATGAATGCGCCTCTTTGCCGTGCCAAAATGGCGGAACGTGTCTCGATGCTGAAAATAGTTATGTCTGTAATTGTGTTCCCGGCTACACTGGAATTTCTTGTGAAACTAGTAAGAAAATCCCGAAAAAAAAGTCAGATTTTAAAATGTGATTCATTTATTTATCAGAAATCACAAAGGCCTACGCCTATAACTAACTTTTCCCGCTTCAATTCTCCCTGGAAGGCATCGAATGAGAATTCTCGTGTTCAATATGGCCCATGTGCACGTTAAGAACGAAGTACTCTGTTCTGTCAGTGTAATGCTCAATCAAGGAGGTATAAAAACCACCAAGGGGAACCCAATAGAAATATTCGAACTTCTGTATTATCCTTATTGAATTTCACACCGAAAAAAAATTCAATCCCATTCTGCAACATTACTAGTTTTAGGAATTTCCTTCTATACTGCACATGAAAACACGAGTAAGTTTTATGGATTATTAACTATACAGATATCTATATTTTTTTCAGATGTCGATGAATGCGCAAGCCTGCCTTGTCTGAATGGCGGAACTTGTCTGGATCTTGTTAATCGGTACTTCTGCCAATGTCCCGTTGGATACGCTGGTCCAAATTGTGAAATCGACTTGGGTGGTGCATGCTTTTCGGATCCTTGTGAGAACGGGGGTACATGTGTTACCGCTCCTAACGGATATTTCTGTGTCTGTCCACTAGGCTATTCAGGACAGAATTGTGAAATAGGTACGTAAATTTAATATATATTACATATTTAGATATTAACAAATCATCGGTATCAGTAGTATCACTTTGCATAATTGTTCTCAGTAACGATAGTGTCGAGGATAAAACGTTTATATTATTATATGTTTATCATCATCATTATCGTCGTCATCGTTACCGTTATCTTTAATGTTTTACAGTTGTCCTCCAATTCGAGGCTACCTTTCGGACATAAAAATGTGGAGTTGTTTTGGAGTTCGTTCTCCAATTAGAGAGTAGCTTTGTGTTATAACTTTGAAGATTGTTATTTTGTTTTTTTAAAAACTTTTAGAATTAGAGGGGTAATTATGGGGTCTCGAATTGGAGGGTGCACTGAATTGTTGTTTTTAAAATAGCCTCTAAATTGCAGTTACTGTTTAATTCCAATTCAGATATTGACGCCTGCCTTAGCGATCCTTGTTTGAATGGAGTCTGCTTTGATTTACCGAACGGATATTTCTGTTCCTGTACTCAGGGCTTCGAGGGCGTCAACTGTGATATCAACACCAACGAATGTTTGTCGCAACCGTGCCTAAATGGTGGAACATGTTTAGATGGCACTGCATCATACATTTGTGTATGCCCGGCTGGATATTCTGGTCTTCGTTGTGAAGTTGACATCGACTTCTGCTCACCACAGCCGTGTCTCAACGGTGGACAATGTGTTGATGGGCCTACAAGTTATTCGTGCATATGTCCTCCTGGATACGTAGGCGTCGATTGCGAGATCTGTAAGATATTATTTGTTTTTTAATTCTCTGGACTGAAGTAATATAATGGTAATAACAGTATTCGATTAAGTTCAGTTTAAGTATATTTTTACACAACACCATGGTGTATTACAATGTACATGAGCATTTCGAGTTTCGGGTTTTCCGAGCCCAATTAGATGGTTAACTTTAAATTAAAAGATTCAAGATTGTATGTTCGTACTTGGACGATTTTGTCGCGAATTAGAGAGGTCTTGCAATTAGATGGGTCTTAAACGAACTGTATCTTTTACTAGATGAAATTCCTATGTTATTATTAGGAGCTTAATTTTTTACCAAGAAATACCATAGGTCATTTTAATATAGGCCTACATCTGAGTGGCATATTGTATGCCTATTTGCATGGGACGTTTCATTCTGCGTTGTTAACCAAAAAACATAATGAAGACCAACAACCTAAAAAATAAATATATATATATACATATATATATTTTTTATTTATATATATTATATATGTATTACGGTATATATATATATTTATTTATATATTATGTATATCATATATATATATTTATATATATATATATATATATATGTATATATATATTTCTTTATTTTTTTAACTTTTAAAGTGGTAGACCCATGTGCGTCTCAGCCATGTAGAAATGGCGGAACATGCCAACGACTCGGTGGCTTCAACTTCATTTGTTTCTGTACCAGTCTGTATAACGGACCAACGTGTGAAGTACCCGTCCAAGGTTCGTAGTTCTAAATTATACCTTAAATTTTGCAATTATTGTAAAAATGATAATTCTTGTAGAAATACATCTTTTTCTGTTAGGTTTATGTAGTTTTTGTAAAAATATTGTAAATATTTAATTAGATTATTATTATTATTATTATTATTATTATTATTGTTTTGTTATTACTATTATTATTATAAATATAATTCTTATTATCAATATTATTCATATTATTTTTACCATTTTAACTTTTGCAATTTTAACCTTGACCTTTATATTTCAACATTTCATGATGTGATGTATGTTGTGTGTTTTAGTATGTGATTGTATCAATAAGTATATTTTTATTATTTTTAAATCTGTGAACAAACAACCAAATTTTCAAGCCGTATGCTTTACTATGTTTGACAATAATGATTGAATTGAATTGAATATATGTTTATTATATTATTCATATTATATTTTATGAGTATACTAAATATTTGTTTGGTGTTTGATCTTCAGACCCCTGTGCTTCACAACCTTGCGCAAATGGTGGTACATGTGTTGTAACCGTTGAGGGTGGATTCAAGTGTGTTTGTCCCGGTTATGGTTTCGACTTCTTCTGTAATGTCAGTAAGTAACACGATTTTATATCTTTCATGTATCCGAGTTTCTCTGTATGTAAAGTAAACTGTTGTTAGAAGACAAGTCAATTTGTATATTAATAGTGTTTCTCCTTAACTTTAAATGGTACTGTACATTTTACGTTCTTTATGTTTTCACAGATCCTGATCTTCTGTGCTTTAATAGAGCTGATGGCAATTACGCTCATCCAACCAATTGCTCTATAATTGTGGCGTGTGTTGGTGGTAACCCTATCTTGATTGCCTGCCCAGCTGGTTTGGCTTTCAACGAAACTGCCAATCTATGCGATCAACCAGCGAACGTTCCTGGATGTGCCGGTATAGGACCTGTCACTGCATGTTCTGGAAGAGCCGACGGTAACTACCGCATACCTGGTCAGTGTAACTCATTTCTACAATGTGTTGCAGGCCAGGAATATATTGGGCAGTGTGTTGCTGGTTTAGCGTACGACGAAATTCAAGATGCATGTGTCCAATCGTCGTTAGTCGATGGCTGCGATACAGGTGGTACGACAGGTACCGGCGAATTCTGCAGTGGACTTCCAGATGGGCTCTACCCTAACGTAAATGACTGTCAATCATTTTTCCAATGCAGTAATGGCAACACTTTCGTGTTTCTGTGTGGTGAGAATTTGGTATACAGCCCTAGCACTCAGCAATGCGATAGTCCTATAGAAGTACCCGGATGTGAGAACTTCAACCCAGGTGTACCGAATGAGTGTCAGGGACGTCTCGATGGCTATTATTCTGTTTCAGGAAACTGCAGTGCAATCCTTGCATGCTCTGGCGGCACTCCTATATATCTAGTTTGCCCAGGTGGTCTGGCGTTCAACGAAACCACCGACATGTGTGAGAGACCGCAGAATGTTGACGGATGTGAGGGACTAAATAATGGAGATTTTTGTAGCAGTCGCAATGATGGTAACTACCCGTTGTCGTGTTCATCGTATTACTCGTGTGTATTTGGAACATCATTTGTACTATCATGTCAACCCGGACTGGCCTACAATCCGAATGAAGATATCTGTGATTTCCCCCAAAACGTTCCTGGATGTGAACAAATAGTAGGAGATCCTACTTGCTTAAATCGAGTTGACGGCAACTACGCTGTTGTTGGAAACTGCAGTGCTATCCTGAGTTGTGTTGGTGGTTTTCCATTCTACCAAGTATGCCCAGTTGGAACCGTCTTTAATGAGTCTGCCAACATTTGCGATCAACCAGCCAATGTTCCCGGCTGTGCGGTAACTCAACCCGGCATCTGTGGCAACCGTCCAGACGGCAACATCCGTAACCCAGCCAGTTGCAGGTCATATTTTGCGTGCGTTGCTGGCCAAGAAACATTATTATTCTGCCCTACTGGACTTGTGTATAACGCATTATCAATGGAGTGCGATTTTCCCACAAATGTGCCTGGCTGTAATGTTGGCGGTGGGGGTGATCCAGAGTGTGTCGGGCGACCTAATGGTAACTATGCTGTTCCTGGAAACTGCAGTGCAATTCTCTCCTGCTTTGGAGGATTAGCCAACTACCTTGTCTGTCCGCCAGGTTTGTCTTTCAACGAAACTGGTAACAGATGCGACCGCAATGTTCCAGGATGCAGTGGTGGTGGAACTGGTTTCTGTGCAAACCTCGCAGATGGAAATTATGTAAATCCAACAAACTGTAGTCAGTTTATTTCCTGTGTAGGAGGTATTCCAATCGTACAGTCCTGTCCAGCTGGCCTAGGCTTTAATTCGACTGGTAATAGATGTGACGCAGGTATTCCTGGCTGCGCTGGCGTAGGAAGTGGCTTTTGCTTTGGACGAGAAGACGGTAATTATGCTAACCCTATGGATTGTAATAGTTACTATGCATGCAGTGGTGGAGTAACAATAGATGTCTCTTGCCCAGAAGGCTTAGCTTTCAACCAACAAGACAACGAATGCCAGCAGCCAGGAGATGTCCCTGGATGCGCTGGAACTGGTCCTGGAGGAAGCCCTACGTGCGTTGGTCGAGAAGATGGATTTTATGCTGATCAAACCAATTGTAATCGTTTTTATAGATGTGTTGGAGGAGTTATCACTTCGTTTAACAATTGTAATCCTGGCCTTTACTTTGACGCTGTTTCCTTCTCATGTAATCTCCCAGAGAATGTACCAAACTGCGGCGGTGGTGGTGGCGGTGGAGGAATATGTTCTGGAAGACTTGATGGTAATTATCGAGATCCTCAAAACTGTAACCAGTATATAGCATGTTCAGGAGGTTCGTTGATTGCCACTTTGTCATGTCAAGGAAATTTGGTTTTCAACGAAGACGATGACCGATGTGATTTCCCACAAAATGTCCAAGGTTGTGAAACATTCGTCGGTGACGGTGGAGACCCAGTATGCTCTGGACTCTCGGATGGTAACTATAGAGTTCCAAACAACTGCAGCGCCATATTGTCATGCGTTGGAGGTTTTGCGTTTTATCAGGTCTGTCCTGCAGGCACTGTTTACTACAATGTCAATGACACTTGTACCTTGCCTGCCAATGTCCCTGGATGTGAGCTTCCAGGTCCCACATCATTCTGTAGCTCTCTTCCCAATGGTAACTACCAGAACCCGGCTAGCTGTAGTTCATACTACGCTTGCTCTGGAGGACAGTCACAGTTATTAGCCTGTCCCCAAGGACTTGTCTACAATCCCACGAATGACGCATGCGACTTTGCATCGGCTGTGGCGGGCTGTTCTGGAGGAGATCGTGGTGATGGAGGCGGTGACGGTGCTTGTACCGGTATACCTGATGGATTTTACCGCGTGCCTCAAAACTGTAGTATATTTCTTGGTTGCTCTGGAGGTATTGCAACATTTTTGAGTTGCCCACCAGGACTAGTGTACAATCAAACTGGTAACCTTTGCGATAACCCTGCCAACGTTCCTGAATGTTCAGGCTTCCTAATTGGTGACGGCTTCTGCAGTGGACTTTCTGACGGAAACTACCCTGACGCAGCTAACTGCTCAGCATACTACTCTTGTTCAGGTGGGGTGACTAATAAGCTTGCTTGTCCCGCTGGTCTTGCATACAACGCTGGGACAGACCAGTGCGATCTTAGAGGTAACGTAGCTGGCTGTGAGGTGCCACCTCCAGATTTATGTCAGCCAGGACAAAATGGCCATTTTGCTGACTCTGTCGATTGCAGAAGATATTACATCTGTACAGACGGTCAGCTCGGATTATTCACGTGTCCACCACAGCGAGCATTCGACCCGTATACGTGTACATGTATTGATTATACTGACGTTCCATATTGTTAATATTGTTAGTTCAACTCAATTCCTTTTAAAATTGTATTCATGTCTTTGAGATGGGTACAATATACAGAACTCACGATTGGCACGCATGCCTAAATTGTTTCTCAAGGTGACGGTATTGATTGTAGCCAGTGGCTGTCCATTGCATCAATCTATATAAACCTATCTATCTAATTTTATATAATGTTTTTTTATGTCATTTTATTTAATGGTTCCCGTAATTTTACTTTAATAGCTCCCGTAGAGGTATTTAATGGCTCCCCGTAGTTTTATTTGATATACGGTAGTGTATTGTTGGTAAATAACGTGTGCTGCCTGAGATAATTGTATTTTTCGCAGGCTTATTTGATTATTGGTGCTATAGTTTAATTTAGTACATTAATGACATTTATTTCGGTTTATATAACTTGATGAACAAACATTAGTATACACGCCTCTGGTATCCATTAAAGAAGATGAGTCTATTTAATAACTATTCAATAACTTTGTTTGAATACCACTTCGTTTATATTGTATTAGCTATGAGTTGCTGAAGTTCTGGGTTATTTAAAGTTTGTAATGCCGGGTATATTTTACTTTATTTCGGAAAATAAATTTTAAATAAATAAATATACTGTCTTTTTATTAGACTGTTGTAAATATTGTTTTGAACTAGTTGTACACATACACACGTAAATACAAAAGCAATTATATAGTAGTACTATACATCACTACCTAATGTTTATCAAATCATAATAAACTAAATTAACATGCATAACAAGGCTTTGGCAACACATTTTGATGATGTCATCCAGCAATGGTCAATGGCCATGGCGATTCTAAGGTTCTTTTATTTTGACCAACAGCGTGACAAAAAAAATGTTGGGTCAAAAAATGGAAAATTCAATGAACAGATATGAATATTGATGACTTCACATTAGAAGTAACGGTCAAGGATCATGAAAGAAACGTGCATTCAGACCATAATTATTTACCGCTCTTCCGATTGGTCACCGCATTACCGCCCTATTTCCAGGAACCTGCTGTCCTCAGATATACATACACGAAAATATATCAAAAATAACAATAATAATATTAATAATAATAATTGTAATAATGACGATGATGATGATTATAGTGTAATGCGAATAATAAACACAGTAGCTAGTTTAATATTGTATCTATACATTATTATTATTAGGCCTATTATTTATACACAACACAAGTATACTGTACGATTTAAGTTTATTCAAACACTACTGTCTACTATTCTTATACTACTGAAGTCCAACACTTAGTTATACAGTACAAATTATTCTAAATATACTAATTCTTTGGCATCTTGGGGGCTACTCATTGTGATGTCGGTTATTTGTATTTATGAGACTCGGGAGAGATCCCGATAGAACAGAGTAGATACGAGGGAGATCTCTTTGGCTGTTATTATTATTATTATTATTATTATTATTATTATTATTATTATTATTATTATTATTATTATTATTATAGGTCAAATAAAGATAACGATAATAATGATGATGATGATGATGATAGTGATAGTGATAATGACGATGATAATAATGACGATGATGATGATTTTGGATTAGACTGGATTTTATTGCTTTGAGACACCATGAAGTTCCAAGGACTTCCAGTATGGGATCATTCTGTTGATTAACTATGCAGTATGCCTCCGCCGGGAAACACCTCCGTGCTCTTTCTCGAAAAATCTTCCAATTTTCCAAAATTGAGCTATTTTTCGCCTAGTTTTTTGTCATTCCTCCATTTGTAGGTCTGTTCTAAAATAAAGACAAAACGACCGGAAAAAAGCTAGGTCGAAAAATCGTCCATTTTCGACAAAAACCATAATATACTCTTTATGTTTTTGACAATTTGAATATTATGTTTCACCTAGCCATTTTTTTCTACAAACAGTATATTTTATTACTATATAGGCTAAGGCCTATTACAGCTTTGAAGTTAGACTGTAATATTGTCCAAACTACTGCCCGGATATTGTTAACGACTTAATTGGATATTAAGACCAGCTTATATCAATCGAAGTTCTAGTTACAAGAAACTACGTCATTGTCTACTAGCTGACTTGATTTGTTTTTAAACTTTTTTTAAATATTGTAAACAAACCACAGTTCTATAGTAGGCCTAGTTAAATAATGCGGTTTCCTTAATATAGTGACCCCGACCTACTTAAGTTGTAACCATCGCTATATATATTCATATGATTCGCGGCTTGATTTTGCACTTAATACACTGTAATATATTTTGTTTCCAAATTTTACAAAGAATGCGTCTACAACGCTCACAAATTAATATGTAGATTATTATTTTTTTTAATATAAATCTACCATCTCCTTATTTTTATGTACTTTTCATTTAGAAGAGGAAATAGTTTTAAAACTCTTCATATCCCTCCGGCAATTTGTTCGATCCCTTGCAAAAAAATATTGTTACACTGGATACAACGAAATTTGTATCAACAAATTATGGTAACCCAATTAACGGTGTCTTGAAGGACAGCTTATCCATTGACCATCGACATCCCTATCCGAAGCTTTCTAGCTACGTCCTGGAGGAGTTCATGGATTAATATAAGATTTAATATATATTTGAGAACTGCATCGCTCAGCTATTTGTGATTAAGCTATTTAAATAGATGATTATGAATAATATTAATATTTTTATTATTGCCAGTGTTCTTATTAATGAAAATACGGTACTAATTATCAACGTCATATTTCAAATGATCATAGTCATTTCTATAGTAATAATAATACTCATACCAACACTACTAATAATAACAGTATTATTATTATTATTATTATTATTATTATTATTATTATTATTATTATTATTATTATTATTATGTAGTATCATTGGTATCATCATTAATATGATTATCATTTTATTATTACTATCTAAGTATCAGTATTATATATATATATATATATATATAAAGTATTATTATTATTATTGTTATTATTATTATTATGATCATCATCGTCATCAATAACAATAACAATAATAGTAGTAATAATAATAATTATTATTATTATTATCATTATTATAGTATTAGTATATAGTAGTAGTAGTAGTAATTATAATGATGATGATGATAATAATAATAATAATAATAAGAATAATAATAATAATAATAATAATAATAATAATAATAATAATAATAATAATAATAACAATATCACTGTTCAGATTATGATGGTCACATACATTAATAATTTAAAACTAGATTTGAACTCGTCACTGAAGACGAGTTAGGTGATCCGCCGTACTCTGACCCTCACGAAGCACGCGCAGTTCTGATTGAAAAGTATTATATGCTAAAACATGCTCTATTTAAAGAGTAATTTTGAGCATTTTAAAAGGAATTTTAAAGGAAAAGAGTAATTTTGAGCATTTTAAGGACTTACGAATGTGTACACATACGTCTTAACGTCCGTGCGCACGGTAGTATTAATACAGTGTCAGAAAACCAACACATGTAACCGAAACGTAATTTCCAGCTTCAGTACGTGCTGTGGGCGTAGAAATGAGCGTACGGCGCGTAAATTTTGGAAAGTTTTGGAATATTTAAAATGACCTGAAACGTGCTTTAAATTATCTGAAAAGTGATATTAACAAATTTAAAATTTTAACGAACAAGTACGAATACCTTATACGACGTGCCTGACGACGGTAATGGCACATGAATTTAAACCTTGTCAAGTTTAATTTAAAACCCCCTGTTGGTCGGTAATGCCACACGAATTTTGCCTTTACAGTATACGAGCTATCGGTCTGATAGTGTCGAAATACAGTCTGCCGCCCTCTATTTTCAATGTGTTTACATCTTTTAAGAAGGAAAGATGAGAAGGCTCCAAAAAAAAACATTATTTTTGACAATGATGACGTCATCAAAATAAAAAATAAAGGGACACGTCCGAAAGAGAATTGATTTAGCTAACATACTCACAGGTGGGAGGCAATCAATCAAGATAAGCGAGTACGTTGAAACGAGTATAAAAAGTAATAACGTCATAAATAAAAATTCAATTTTTTCTTAATTCGAATGGAAATATGATGACGTCACAATGTCCGATCAGCCAATATGATCTATAAAATCGTATCTACAACTCTTGTGCTTTCAGAATATGTAATAAAATTTGGATGTCACTTTCATCCTAAGGAGCTGTAACTGATTAAAAGTAGGCATAATTTTAAGTATACATAATTGTTGACGCACGCGTACGCGCACGTTAAGTCGCGCGAACGGAAAATTAAGGTACCTGACATTCAACCTTGACCTGAAGATTATGCTCACTTAATATGATCCAGAAATGAAGAATGGTTAAGATGATATGGGCTCATGAACGTTTTGAGGAAAGAAAGATGTGGGGGTCAGAAAAAACAATTTTTTTGACCATGATGACGTCATCAAAATGTAAAAAGAAGTCAAATATATGAAAGAGAATTGTCTCAGCTATAACATACTCAAAGTTGGAAGACGATCGACCA